AGTCTCAGTTCGCGATTCTAAAAAATGTCTTGGCAGTCAATCAGGTCAGTTCACTACCTCCAGACTGACAGTTTGAACCGCAAAGATGAACTGACAACTGACTGATTGACTGATAGCAACTCTGTTCCTGTGTCGACTTTGTTTCATTGGTTTTCGCATCTTGGATATCTTTATTGCGTGCGCTCATCCCAGAGTTGGCTTCACGCTCCAGTGCCGCGATCTTGTCATCAAGCTCATTGTGGCGTCGGTTATACTCAGAACGCTTAGATATCAAGGTCTTTTGCGCTTCTTCGATTCCGGCCTTGTACTCTGCCTCAGCTGCCGCAACTGCTCCATGAGCGACCGCGATCTTTGCTTTCACAGCAGCGTGGAATTTCTCCAAGGCCGTTCGTATCGTCTCAACCATCCTCTGGATAATTTGTTGCTCAATAGCTACATCAATAGTCCAGTCCGCGTTTGCGAGCTTCCTCGAGAGGCTCTTCTCTTCACCTTTGCTGATCATAAAAGCCTTCGCTTTGATGCTGAGAAGATCGCTCCATAGCAACTCGAAGTTGAAGAAGAAGGCTGGATCTGGCATGAGCTGTATATGTAGGTCGATGGATGCTGAGAGGTTGAAGATCTTCACGAAGCCGTTGAGTATGAATTTCTGTGTCGTCATACTAAGCTCCAGATCCAACAACGCAAAAGTTACACCAGGTTTATCTGGTAGTGTCATAGTACCGCCGATACTGAGTGGTCCGAGCTCGATGGTTTGAAGCCATGCTTTCAGTCGAAGTCCTTCGGTAGTGAGCGAGCAGTCCATGCCCGCCTCATGATCAAACACAATGATTTTCCCTTTGAACCGAATGCCCGCGGGGTAATAGTCACCCGCAAAAGCTACCCCTCCACTGGCGTAGATATCGACATCCTTGAGCTGAAGTATCTCCATGTCTGTGGCAGGTACCTCTCTGTCCATAATGGCTCCGACAAACTGGATCAGCTTGTAGTAGTCCATGGATGGTGCATTGACTTTGATCAGCATGTCCTTGGGATCTTCACAGACGTAGAGCGCCATCCCATATGCGTTGTCTGGGCTGACCTTACCAAGGTAGAAGGAGCCTAGAATACCACCACCCGTAGGTAGACCTGTCGCCACGAGTACAGGCCATTTGAATTTTACTCCTAAAGCAAGCTTTGGGCCAATCGTGATTTCCTTGCTGAGTCCGAAAGGGTTGTTGATATGTCCAGTGAATACCAGCTCACCAGCGACCTCCAATGCCTTGACCTCCGTGGCAAGATCAAATTGTAGCCACTCGGTATTGTCGTCCATGCGCACCTGGAAGCCCCCCACGAAGCGCAGGCTACGGTCACTACCAATCTGGAGCTCGAACCTGTTCGTCCTGAAACGTGGGCCGATGTCGATCTTCAAGGACTTCGGTAAGAAGATCGAGACGTTTGGAATTTTGCTGCCTTTCTTCCAACCAATAGAGAGCTGTGTCGTATCGCCTGCTGCAGGCTCTTTGACCTTCCCACCAATCTGAATGCACGGTATCTTCTGTAAAGTAGCCCACAGATAGAACCCAGGCCTAATCACGTAGCCGTTTGTGTTGAGATGACACTTGGGACTGTCTATGTTAGAGGCCACAAGACAGACAGACTTTAGTCGAAGATCAAGCTCGGAATGCTCATCGATAGAAGACACTATGTCTCTCAATGACACATCAGAGTCCATGCTACCACAAAGCACCCAAAACATCTTTCCGTTCTGCTTTCCACCAGTGAAGACGACTCTGATATCCATAGGCTTGGAGACACCTTCTTTAATCGTGATCCGACCAGCGACCTCGAGTCCACCATACCAGCCTTTCTGAGTTGTCTCTGGCTGCTTTTCCTTGCCTTCAGGAGAGGCTGTAGTAGCCGCTTTGCCAATCATCAGGGTAAGCGAAGCATCATGAATAGTGACGTAGCCGTCATCTATGGAGAACTCATGCACATCTGCTCTGATGAGAATACCGGCAGAGGTGATGGCGATGGTGGCTGCGGCCAAATGCCTCCCATCGATGGAAAGCGACCCTCTGAGCAGAAGCTGAGCTTTGGAGATCCTGATAGTCAGCTTCTCGCAGGTGATCTCATGATCGGAAGTTGCCAGATCCTCGCCGTGAATATCGGAAAACAGCTTCTTTATGTCACTCCAGGTGACTCTCTCTAATGTTCCTTCGATGTATGATGCATCGGGATACTGTTTGTATATAGCACCAGTCAGTTTGACCACGCCATTGCTGGAAGTCTTCCATTTCGCCGACACAGTAAAGGATAGCGATGCGTCAAGCTGAGCTGCCGTTGCTCCACCTGGGAGTAAAGCTGTCTGCTCTTGGGACTCGGTTGTTGGTGCTAGGGCTTGAACATCCTGTTTGGACGCAGCTAGGACTGTGTCGTCACTCGGCTTGGCGACCGTCTTTGGCAGTGGGATGTTGATCGAGAATTTCGCTTCATCGAGCTAAAAGCAACCATCAGCCTGGCATACTGGACCTGAGTTCATCATAATTTTACTTACCAGCAATGACTCAACACCAAGTGGGCTCCTCCATTTTCCGTCCCCAGGTATGGTCATATCCAGTCTCAAGAAGGTCTCTCCAAGAGAGGCTTTGTATGCTAACAAGAGTGGACCAGTCAATCCAGGGAAAGAAGCATGCAGTTCGCCGATGACAGCGCAGCTAACATCTTCTGACTTTGCAGGTGCAACGAACGATTCGATTTCCGTGGTGGTGTTGGTCTTCCCAACATTGACCTGTACCCCTACAGAGAGGATGGTGACAAGCTCTAACCCCGGTGGCATTTGAGACTTCAAGCCAAGCAACGAACCCTCGAATGTCAGACCATCTGAGGCATACGTTCCATCCGGTACCTGTGTAACCCCAAGATACGCAGAAATCCGGAGCGTTGGCTTTGCCTCATCGCCAAGGAACTGCTTGAAAACTTCGAATACCCCATCGAGCAGACCATTGAACTCGATCTCAGTCCGGAGATATAATCCAGCTGGCTTGTCGAGAATGGGCTTTGACCACCACTCGATGGCCGATTTCCGGAAGGCGACCGATCCAAATGCTGTAGATGACAGATCCGGGAAAAGTGAGCTGAGTGAGACAGACTCATCTAGCTCGTACTTCCAGAACTCACGGGTCTCCCCTTCGGGAAGAGGTGCTTCTCTTCCAGCGACATTCGCGAATACTGGGTCAGCCCAGAACCCATCCCAACTGGTGAATTTGGGTGGTTCCTCTTTGTATAGTTGTAGTTGATCATCCGTTAATTCGATCTTGCCAACTGACTGCTTCAGAGTGGTATCGGCTGTTGTCGCGGAAATTGGTTGTGCTGTTCCAGCGAAGACTGGATCGTCCCAGAAGCTCATATTGATGTACTTTTGGAGTGAGATGGCAGACGAAGAGCAAACATGCAAAACTAATGCGACAAAATCATCAGGTAGGTAAAGTAAACCAAAACCTCAGTTCAGAAGGTGAAGAGGAAGAACTTGCAAAAATGCGGACAACGTCTGATACCCAGAATCTCGCTGCACAGGATGGTTGTTCTCCCGTAACGCCTCTAAGCTCTTTCTTAAGTGACGCGGAGTCTTCAACCTGCATCACAGCTCCAACTATCTCCGAACAGCCATATGCACCACCAGTCACCTACTACGCATGAGCTTGAACATGCATACAACACTCTAGTTGGCGAGCTGGAACGTCGTGATAGAGCTTTCAGACAGCCACCACCACTACAGCTGCATGGCATGAGTCGTTGGTAGTCAATCATTCCATATTTCGCTGTCTCTAGAGTGGTATACCGCAGATCCAGAATTGGAAGGTTCTTGCTCTCATGGTAGCGAGAAGTACCCCCGCCTCCCGTATCTCAAATCAATCGCCCAATGCGGTCTTCATAGCATTCCACCAACAGCAGTATGTACTGCGTGATGTGGATGAAGTTACAGGAGCGGTGTACCACTTACTCGACCAATCGACTGGCGACGGGGGATGGGAGCTACATGAAAGCCACAATGACCGAAAGAAGTAGTCCTCAACGACGCGCTTCCATATTGAGGTGACTGAAGCGGGGTACAACCGATCGGGCGATAGTACGGTCTTTTCTGCGATGTGCGCACAATACCCCATGCATCAGAATTGAGGCGAGAAGCTCGTAGCGTGTATGTTCCTCGCGTGTTACCAGAATCCGGCGTTTTCAGCTCGCTTGTGGCAAGCCCCCAGGGTCCATTTTGATGGCCGAGAACGCGGGGTGCCCGGCAGCGTCCTGTCGAATGCAGTGTGAAAAGCCACACAGCTCAGCGGGCCGCGAAATATGCAAGGGCGTGGACGAAAGGAGTGATCTAGAGAAACTGCATGTCAGGATGTGTACCTATCAACTGTCAGGAAGCCCGGCCCGTCCCGGCACCGGGCATCCAGCCAATGAAGGGACAGCCGAACACCACAGCGATCAGCTGGACACGACCGACATCTGCACAGCTGTATGCATGTTCATCGTGACGGCTTCATGACACTCAAGCGCTTCACGACAACTGCACGGACGCTTCAAGTCTAATGGCGAGCTGAAGCCCGATGATCTAGAGCAGACGGTGCGAAACACGCCATGTTTGTTGGTCACTTCGCAGGTGGAGCTGCACGAGGAGAGCAATCACATTGATCAGCACCTAAGTATTACCGTAGATTGCAGCATAGAAGACGGACTTGAAAAGTATAAAGACACCCAACATCCACATATCATCTCATTCCATCTCATCTCATCTCATCTCATCAACAGCCAACAACTACTCTAGAGCCGTCTTCTTTTCACCAAACTCAAACAACACTATTCCACCATGTCTTCTCTCGTCGAAAAGGATAACACCATCTACGTCCCTGCCGAGTTCCTCGGCGGTGAGAAAGGCCGAAAGGTCAACGTGACCTGGAGCCAGTCATTGCGCCAGCGCAATCAAGAGTACTGGGTCTGCAAGTATACCGTCAAGTCTGGTGGTAGGTAAACTCCTTTCCTCGATCGATACCTCCAGGCTTATGAGATTTGATCAGGCAGCTCCGAAGGTGTCATCTACATCCAAACCGACAAGCTCGACGAGTTCAAGTCGAAGAAGATGGACGGCGACAACTTCACTTTGAAGGTCGATGACCAGTTCCAGTACGGACAGGACAAGAACAAGACCAAGCGTTTCCTTGTTTTCCACAACAAGGACTACAAGCCTTACCAGGTCAGTGAGCTGTGATGAAATCACCCACCATGGAAAGTCACTGACTTGATTCAGCACCGTTATGTTTCCAACACTATGGCCGATCTGGGAGGAAAGGCCGCGGACATCATCGAGGGGCTTGGATTCAAAGATATCAACACTGTCGAGGAAATGACTAAGCGCTTTGTCGGAGACTACTTGCACAACTTCTAGAAGATCAGAGTTCAGGGCTACAGGAAGCTCTAGACAATATATGCTTCTGGATAGTGTATAGATATTAGCATTCCAATGATTGAACGCGCCTTGAGAATCTCGCCTGACTGGCTTTACTTTACTTGCACATCTTATCGTGACGACCGAGCAGACATGAGTTTGTTTCGCTTGTATTTGGGGATACGAAAAATATAGCCATAAGTTTGGATGGTTTGCACTGTCGAGTCTGCTGACTTTGACATGGTGACTTCATTCGAATTCTCCAAACTGAGGTAGACCAGAAAATGCTTGATACATGTCATGTCCATGGCTATGACATCTGATACACTATGTCAATAAGTCGGTGGCATCCAAGTCTTGAACAAGAACTGCTACGCATCTATGTGATACAGACCAGCACGGGTAGGAATCGGTGGTCTCATAGCCAATCCAGTGACAGGGTACTCTGCGGGCGCTGCGGTGAGAGATGCGGTATATGATTATATGGCGGGGGTGTGACGAACGCGATTTGCAGAAAGAACTGAGCGTATCGAACACCACTTCGCAGCCAAGTCTACTACGTTCTGTCTGGTTTCATTCGGTGTACATCAAAGTTTCAGTTGAGTCAGAAAACTTCCATTCCCTGTGGTTTAGAGCATTTCATCTGTGCAAAGAAAACCGAGCATATAACTGATACTTCCGTCTTTCCCTCCGACTCACTCCTGTCAACCTCCACCAACCAGCCCGCCCCCTCCACCTCAAGGACCACTACTCTCCGGCCAAGCCGGATCCTCAACCCTCCTAAAGCACGCCACAAACTTCAACCCCTTATTCCTCTCCACCTTCTTCCCCTCCTCCGTCTCCACCCTCATCGCCTTCACACACTCATCCATACCCACGCCCTCGACCCCATCCACCGTCTCCCCCTCCTCAAACACCCTTTCCACACGCTCAAAGCTCGGATGCTTTTCAAAATGGCCCCTCATCCACACATGCAGATCCTCGACATCGGTAATCGTATACACGATACCGCCGGGACGCAGCACATAGGCGTATTCTGCGTTGAGCGTCCACGACACGATGCGCGCCTTGTGTTTGCGCTGCTTGAAATGCGGGTCGGGAAAGCAGAGGAAGATTTTACCGAGTTGGTGTTTTTGGAAGAAGTTGGGGAGGAATTTCATCGTGTTGGCGCGGATGCAGGATGCGTTTTGGTAGGCATTTGTTGATGCGTTTTGGACGCGGAGGGCGCGGACTTTTTCTTGCACGTATTCTGTTACCGAGGTGCGAATCTCCATGCCTGTGCAAAATTTGTTAATTTTTTTCCAATAATCATTTCATATATGTGTAGAGTGTTTTGCTGGCTGTTTCCTTGTTTTGCAACCGGGTTCTTTTTTTCTTTTGACTATGGGAGCTGTGCGGGCATGTGAAGTTGTTATCCTTACCTAGTATCAATGTATCCGGGAATTTGGGTGCAAGGGCAAAGAGTAGACCACCAAATCCACATCCAATGTCTGCGATTTCGACATTTTGCGTAATTGCATTAAGCTTCTGCTGCTCTTCAATGCTAACATCATGTGACTCATTCTGCGCCTCTCCCATCTCTTTCTTTGCATGTTTGGCGTACTTGGGGTACAGACTGGCCCAGTCCATGTCTGCGGGGCTCGTAGGGCTATGTCCATGTTAGTTGGCTGTTTTCGGGAGAAATCAAAACATCAAAATTAATCTTACTACGTGAGAGAGTGATCTGAGAAAGGATTTGCATGAGCGCGTTGTCTATAAAACTTCTTCTTGGGTAGTGCGCCTTGTTGCTCATCTGTTTGGAGGGATTTCCTGTATTCTTCGCGCCTTGTGCGCTTTGCTGGTTCGCCTGGCATGTTTGCGTGATGTCCGAATATAGCGGCAAGTTGCTGGATGGGCAAGTAAGTTTGTTGGTGTCGAGGAGTAGATGCACAGGTGCTGAGGTAATAGTCGATTACGGTAGTTGCGTATCACGAAGCGAGTTTTTTGCTAGCGCCAGGGTCTCTGGTCCACCAGTGCAGATTGGGTGAACACAACAGCCGTTCGCGCAACGATGCGCTGCTTTTCTTGCCAATCGCCAAGTGACGTAATACTTCATGACCTGGGTGTTCCAGGGACGTTACTATAGAAAAGCCCTACGACCTTATCGCACGCTGCACATGGTCCGTGGGAAAGAAAATACGATACAAGAAGTGTGATCAAGCCCGGTGTGTGCGCCCAAATGCTAAGTCCTAACACCCAAATGCCCAAATTCTCGTTTCAATCATCAACATTATCGGAATTCAATTGCGCCCTGGCATCCAAAGTCTTGGACGTGTTCCAGTTGGAGCTTCTGGAACCTAGCGATGGGGTCAGCGCATTTCTATATCGAGGGAGAGATGGGGGATGGGACTTACTTCTCGCTCTTAGCGTGGAAGTAGATGCCCTCGATGCCACCCGAGACCTGGTTGAAGCAGATGTAGTAGAAGCCCTCAAAGCTCGCTCCGCTTATTGTCCTGACGCGGTGGTCTGGCACGAGGAAGTATTCCTTCCATCGCATGAACAAGTGCTCCTTCTGCATCCAGTCCTTGGTCACCAGTTCTTGGCGCGAGGAGTACTTTGACAGCGGCTTGTATGCAGGGAACCGCGCCCAATGTTGTCGGTCGACCTTTTCGTTGGAACCCCATTCCGGGTGCTGGGTAATGAATGTGTATTTGCTTCCGATGATCTCGCCCTCGAAGTATGTCGTCAAGCTGGGATGGTCTTCGGTCAAACCTAGGGACTAGTCAGCCTGCCAGCTCTGTACATTGTACTGCAAGACGTGTGCGTGCCTTTGATGCGCAAGTAGCCACACATGAAGGACTCGCGCATATCGACGTGTTTTATCTCGACTTCGACTTCATACTTCTGGCGGTCAGAGGTTTGAGTGCCCACGAAGCGACTACCGGGCCGAAGGAGGGAGGACGATGTGTTTGGTATGAACTGTATCGCCATCAGCAATGTTCGCGTTGCGCAATGCTCGGTCTGCATGCTGAATACAACGCACCCTATGCGCAGGAAACGGCGACGACAGGTGATTGGCGAGCAGCGAAACTGGCGCCGCCGTGGAAAGCGGCGAAGCCTGAGACGTGCGTTGCTCCTCGGTGCCATCGTCGGTCGCGGTCATGGGGGTGGGTATATCTCTGCTTGGTGCTTCTATGTTGGTGCTTGATATCTTGCTGTGGATATCGTCGGGCGCCTGGGTAGGCTCGCGCGAGCTTTGCGGCGAGGGAGTCGGCTGCTGCATGGGCACACTTGGACTTGGTGTATCATTCAATTCGTGGGTAGGGATAATGCGCGCATCTTCTGGCGGACAGGTCGTGCGGCCAGCGATGCTCTCGTGCTCCACCGGCGAGACCATGGCTTCATCGTCGGGCGTCGGCATCGTCCGATAGCAGGTGCGAGGAGATTACAAGCAAGGTACGGGTCGGTTATACATGAGACGGAGGGAAGATGAGAGTGCGATTATACAGTACAGAGGTGCAGGGCCAAAAGTAGTGGCGATGGGCAAGTATGCATGTTGGATGGATGACTTGGACTCGGCGGACGTGTCTAGGCGGTTAGTGGGTCGCTGAGCGCTGCACTTACGCGGGGAAAAGGCGCTAGTCTCACGTGGGATGACATGGGGCCAAAACCCTGAACGCCTACGGCCAGGTGGGTAGCATAGGAAGCCTTTATCTGATCTTGTTGTGAACATTTGTGAAGCATATTATTGTTCCTTGCCAAGTGTGCTATGGCGACTTTCCGAGCCGCCCCGTCAGACCTAGCGAGTCGTGGTCAGATGACCTTGCGGCGCCTCTCTTTCCTACATCATCATCCCCGACAGGTTCACGGATACCAGGTGACACTAGCCACAAACGATGTGGTTCCTCTAGTTGACTCCATACGCCGTCCTTGCGTCATTCGACGTCAAGCTGCGGTTGTGCCACACTGCAGTGGCTGCGCGCTATCGGCAAAAGCAGCGTTGCTGTGGCTCACATGTGGCAGCGAGAGACTTAGATTGGCTTGATCTGTAAAGTTGTGAGTTTGCATGCTCGACATGCGAATGCGCGCTATGCGTACCTTGAAGTGAAGAGATATCAAGGAGAAGACCAGAGCCTTGAGGTCCTGTACCAGGTAGTAGAAAACACGGAGGCCTTCTGGATCCGACGAGTCCTGCACGTCCTGGAGGGAGCCGATCTTTGCAGTCTGCAATCGTCAATATCAATACAAGTCATGGGCATGGTCAAGGCTACCTCAAAGGAGATGTGTTCGCTGCCTAACCGAATTTCCAGCTCTTGACGACCATCTTTGTTCTTTTGAGGCCACTTTGTGTCATCTTCTCTGGAGGACTGATTAGCAGATGGTTGTGTGCGCTTCCATTGCTCGAGACGTACTTGAGAATTTCACTGTCCTTGACGATGCGCTTGATTTCGGCTACCAACGCATCGCTGACACACACTGACGATGCGTTAGAAACTGGCAACGTCGGACGCAGGGCATTTCGTACTCTCTTTCCGGATAAGGCTATCGTTGCGGTAGTTGGAGTTGTTTGCATAACGGGCAGATGCGCTGCGGCCATCTCCAAGCACCCGAAAGTCGAACTCTGATCAACAATCAACTTTTCTCATCCGCAACTCTCTTGCAGACAGTACGCACCCAGGAACTCGTGTCCAAATCGGCCCTGGTGGCCAGAGCTGCGAAAATGTTAATAACTGCACGTGCTCTCGAGGCCGATAGGCTGCATACTAGTATCGAAGATAGAATGGCTCGTTGGTGGTCATGTTTGCGGATGGGTATGGCTGATGTGTAAAATTGCGCGTATAGAAATGCGCCGTGTTCAGCTGCGCGTCGTGGTGTTGATGTTGGACGGCAGCAAGGTGAGTTGGAGATCTTGGCGGCCGGACCCCTGCAAGCCTAGCGAGGGCGGTCTTGGAGCGACCATTTCTCGAGCAGACACCTGGAGGTAAACAGCCAAGTCCAGCATTGCACCCCGATACCCAAGAAGCAACCTCTTCGCGCCAGGGCAATTCCGTCTCTTCACCCCCGCCACCTGCCTGCAGCTGCGCCAAAGCTCACGACCCTCTGCACCGCCCAAGTCGATCGATACACGTAGCATCCCACTTATTCTGGACACCAAGGGACACTGAGGGCTGAAGGTCTTTGAGAGTCACGTTATCGCAGCTGGATACTGTATATCTCGGGACCATCGCATATACCAGAGCCAGACGGGCATCATGGCGGCCTTCCTCGAGAACTCGTACAGTCTGGTAGGAACACCTGGCAGTGGGTCTGGGGACATGGGGAAGCTGACGGAGAACAACAGGTGCACCAGGACAATGCTGCCGACGTACCATCACAGAATGAGCTGAAGAATGCTCTGGAAAAGGGCAGCGATGAGCAGAAGATCGAGACTATGGTGCGCTCTTGCAATTGCAGTGCCCCGCGATGGTGGTAGTGAATGCGACCGTCTGACAGCTTTGCAGAAGAAGATCCTCTCGATTATGCTCAATGGCGACCCCCAGGCCGGTTTACTCATGCACATTATCCGATTCGTCATGCCCAGCAAGTCGAAGCCGCTCAAGAAGCTCATGTACTTCTTCTTCGAGGTATGCCCCAAGCACGACGCTCAGGGCAAGCTACGGCAGGAATGGATTCTCGTCTGGTAGGACATGATGCCAACGCCGAGTGCAACGGCTGCTGACTGTGCTAGTAATGCGATTCGATTCGACCTGCAGGCGCCCAACGAATACGTACGAGGAAACACATTGCGCTTCGTGTAGGATACACCAAGCCGTCACCCCGGACATTGCTGATGCATGCAACAGAACCAAGCTACGAGATGCTGAACTTGTCGAGCCCCTACTACGTAAGAGCCATATCCTCCATTCTCCCAAACGTCATGCTGACAGCTGTAGAACCGGTGCGCCAGTGCCTAGCACACCGACACGCATACGTGCGAAAGAACGCAACCTTCGCTATCGCGTCCATCTTCACACATCTCCCCGAACTCATGCCAGATGCGCCCGATCTTCTGGTAACATTCCTAGACGACGAGAACGACCCGACTTGCAAGCGCAATGCCTTCGCCGCCCTCGTCTCCGTCAGCCATGAAAAGGCTCTCGAATACCTCAGCACCGTCTTTGACGCCATACCCAACCACGAAGAGCTTCTCCTTCTCGCTGAACTAGACTTTATCCGCAAAGATGCTATTGTAAACCCATCCAACAAGGCCCGCTACCTCCGCTTGATCTTCGACCTCCTCGAATCCCAAGTCTCGACCGTCATCTACGAGGCCGCCCACGCCCTTACAACCCTCACAAGCAACCCAGTCGCCGTAAAGGCTGCTGCTGCAAAGTTTGTGGAGCTGGCTATCAAGGAGCCCGACAACAATGTCAAGCTGATTGTCTTGGAGAGGGTTGACCAACTACGACACAAGAATGAAGGAGTCCTTGATGATCTGACAATGGAGGTTCTCCGTGTGCTGTCCAGCACCGACCTGGACGTCCGGAAGAAATCGCTCAACATCGCAATGGAGATGATCTCAAGCAGGAATGTCGAGGAAGTCGTCCTGCTGCTGAAGAAGGAGCTAATGAAGACGGTGGACGAACAATACGAGAAGAACCCCGAATACAGATCGCTCCTCATCTCGTCGATACACTCCGCCGCCATCAAGTTCCCCGAAGTCGCAGCAAGCGTCGTCGGATCACTCATGGACTTCATCTCCGATGTCAGCAGCAATGCTTCTGCAGTCGACGTCATTTCGTTTGTCAAGGAGGTTGTTGAGCGCTTCCCAGATTTGAGAGCTTCCATCATCGAACGACTGGTCTCGACTCTTGGCGAAGTACGCGCCGGCAAGGTTTACCGTGGTGTGCTCTGGATCATCGGAGAGTTCTCCCTCGAGGCCAAGGATATCCGTGACGCATGGAAGGGTATCCGTTCATCACTTGGCGAGATTCCCATTCTTGCTTCTGAGCAACGACTGCTGGACGATGCATCAGAGGGCAAAGAGAGTAGTGAACAAGTCAACGGACACGCAAAGGCAGCTCCAACCGGATCAAGGAAAGTGCTCGCTGACGGCACCTATGCAACTGAAAGTGCTCTGACTTCCTCCGCCGCTGCCAAGGCAAAGCTCGAGGCGGTTAAGAACTCACAGAAGCCTCCACTACGACAACTTCTCCTCGACGGCGACTACTATCTTGCCACAGTTTTGTCCAGCACTCTCACCAAGCTTGTCATGCGCCACAAGGAAATCTCAAAGGACGACGCTCGCACCAACGCTCTCCGCGCCGAGGCCATGCTCATAATGATCTCAATCATCCGTGTTGGCCAGTCGCATTTCGTCAAGACGTTTATTGACGAAGACTCCATCGACCGTATCATGTCCTGTGTTCGTTCGCTCTCCGAGTTCTCGCAAAGAAAGGAGCTTGAGACTGTCTTCTTGGAGGACACCCGGAGATCATTCCGAACGATGGTTCAGACGGAAGAGAAGAAGCGAGCAGCCAAGGAGGCTTCCGAGCGTGCAAAGTCGGCTGTCAACGTTGATGACTCTTTCAACATCCGCCAGTTAAAGAAGAAGGACGCGGATGGCAGTGACGGTGTCGAGCAAGATCTAGAACTCGCCACTGGAGGCGACACTGCGACTGAGGATCTCACATCCAAACTCAGTCGCGTCGTACAGTTGACTGGTTTCTCAGACTCAGTCTACGCAGAAGCCTATGTCAAGGTGCGTCAATCTATACTTACCGAGACTGTTTGCTGACTTTACCAGGTTCACCAATTCGATATCGTTCTCGATGTTCTTCTCGTGAACCAGACAACTGAGACATTACAAAACCTCACTATCGAATTCGCAACACTCGGTGATCTCAAGGTAGTCGAGCGCCCTTCAACGCAGAACGTTGGACCCCACGACTTCATCAACATCCAAGCGACGATTAAGGGTAAGTCTTTCTCCATGAGCGTGTGTCGACTCATATGCTTACTTTTGCAGTCTCATCTACCGACACTGGTGTCATCTTTGGAAACATCATCTACGAAGGGTCAGTCATTCACCTCGACAGTCTACAATAATTGCTAACATGTCGCAGTGAGAAGGGTGTCGACTCCAACGTTGTCATTCTCAATGACGTCCACGTCGACATTATGGACTACATCAAGCCCGCGCAATGCACAGAAACGCAATTCCGGACCATGTGGACCGAGTTTGAGTGGGAGAACAAGGTCAACATCAACTCCAAGGCCAAGACGCTACGTGATTTCTTGAAGCAACTCATGGCATGTACCAATATGAGCTGCTTGACTCCAGAAGCATCGATGAAGGGCGACTGCCAGTTCTTGTCAGCCAACCTGTATGCCAGGAGTGTTTTCGGTAAGCCTGCACAGCCCGACCCTAGACTTGCGCCGCTAACAGAAACAAGGTGAGGACGCTCTGGCCAACTTGAGCATCGAGAAGGAAGGCGACAGTGGTCCCATCACCGGGTTCGTCCGCATAAGAAGTCGCTCCCAAGGCTTGGCATTGAGCTTGGGATCGTTGAAGGGTCTGAATAAGGTTGGTGTGGCATGAGTTCCCGGCTAAAAAGCACTTACTACTCGTCCGGGGTAACGGGAGATGGGCGTTTTGTTCCTAAAGAAAGGGTAACAAAAAGGAAGGCTTCTCGCTTGGCTTTTAGTCCTGGAGTGTTGCATTTGGGCGCGTTGAAGCAAAGACATGATGGATAGGGTGAATGCTAATTTAGCATTGCTGCATGTATTGAAGACATAAGAATTCAAGATCTCAATTCGGATTGTCATGTGAATGAGGTTTATTGGCTTGATGTCTAGTCTGCATGCATGGGTGGTGGAGCTGGAGATGCCTCGGCTCGCGTCCCGCGCGCAGGTTCCAGCGGGTCTTTTTCCTTTTTGTTTAGCACGAGTGATCCGCAAGGATCCGCCCTTGCAGCGCAGGGCACGTACGCATGAAGCGTGACGGTGGTCAGCTTACCTCGTTGTCTACTAATCTCGACGTTTGCTTCCTGGTCCTTGTTGCCTTGCACAGCATGCTGTGCGTCGTCTTCTCTTGACACTTTACAATAATCATGGCCTCGATGGCTGGTACCGACGATCCCTTTCGAGACCCTCTGCTTGATTCCACTCCTTCGCAGCCGCCCATGAATGCGAATCCGTCGCTCAACGTCCCTGACACACTCGCTGTTGGCAGAAATGCTTCCTTGACTCTTGGAACCGATTCCCTCATTGTCCTAGGTACGCAGCGCCAACCACGGCCTGCGAATACGCGACTCACGCGGGTACAGATGAAGCGCTTCTAGAGAGTAAAAGCGCCGGCTGCTGCGGCCTGTCTCTTGCTGGCAGTAAGCATATGCGGACAAGATGCAGACGGCCCAGTCCCCGCTTACGCAACCGCAGAGAACAAATCCACTCGTTCCATACCCTTTTACAACATCCTCTGGGCCGAGCACTCCGAGGACGGCCAGGTCACGATACAATATGCGCAGACCCTGTCCAAGAAAGCCGTGCGTCCCGCAATCGTTAGTTACGCCCTGGACAAACCCGACAGTCGCTTGACGGAAGCTTGGATAGAGAAGCTACTCTCGCGCGCCTACGGGCCCTCGCAGCGACGCAAGCGAATCAAAGTACTCGTCAACCCTTTTGGCGGACAAGGCGGCGCCGTCAAAACCTACCACAAGCAGATTGCGCCCATCCTGGCGGCCGCGCGGTGCGACCTCGACGTCGAGAAGACGACACACAACGGGCATGGCGTAGAGATTGCACAGAGCCTCGACATTGAAGCGTACGATGTCGTCGCGTGCTGCTCGGGCGACGGCATCCCGCACGAAGTGTGGAACGGGCTGGGCAAGCGCGCAGACGCTGCACGCGCGCTGCACAAGATGGCCGTCGCGCAGCTCCCCTGCGGCTCTGGCAACGCCATGAGCCTCAATTTCAACGGCACCGACGACCCCAGTCTCGCGGCGCTGGCTGTCGTAAAGGGGATCCGCACGCCGCTCGATTTGTCGAGCGTGACGCAGGGAGACCGCCGCACGCTGTCGTTCCTCTCGCAGGCGGTGGGTATCGTGGCCGAGACGGATCTGGCGACGGAGCATCTGAGGTGGATGGGTGCAGCGAGGTTTACCTGGGGGTTTTTGGTCCGTCTTGTGAGCAAGACGTGTTATCCGGCTGATATCGCGGTCAAAGTCGAATACGACAACAAGACTGCCGTGCGGGAAGCGTATCAGAACGAGGCGAGTAAACCACCGCCCAGTTCCGATGATGAGCGCATTGTGCCTACGCCCGATACCGGTCTTCCAGCCCTGAAATATGGGACCGCGAACGACCCTTTGCCCGCTGGTTGGCAACTCATCCCGCACAACACGCTTGGAAACTTTTACGCGGGCAACATTGCATACATGTCTGCCGACGCGAACTTTTTTCCGGCTAGCTTGCCGTCAGACGGCTGTCTAGATCTGATTCGTATCCGTGGCGATATTGCGCGGCATACCGCTATCAAGACGCTGCTTGCGATTGAAAATCACACGTTTTTTGATCTGGAACATGTGGATTATACCAAAGTGAGCGCGTATAGGATTATTCCTAAGAATCAGAAGGATGGGTATATTAGTATTGATGGGGAGAGGGTGCCGTTTGAAGGGTTTCAGGTCGAGGTGCATAGGGGGTTGGGGACGGTGTTGAGTAAGAGTGGGCATTTGTGTGAGGCGAGGGGGGTGTGATGTTGGTTGTGTTGGGGAAGATGGTGTTGGAGAAGAAGAAGAAGAAGAAGAAGAAGAAGAAGAAGGCTATTGAGGTTCCTCTTCCTCTTCTTCTACTACTTCTCGTCTTTGCTCATGTTGAACTTGCAGAGGGCGTTTGAATCTTTTTTTTTCAGCTTAGGGATACCATTTTCCTTTGTGGTCAGATTGGCAATTCTAGATTTCTCGTAATAAGACCAAAGTGTTTCTAAATTTTGCAGATGTTGAGAGTAGTCAAGTCTGTTATTCTTCCATTACCAACATTATCATGACTACGTGAGACAGCAAAACATTGTTGTTGTTATTGTTATTGTTGTTGTTGTTGTTGTTGTTGTATGTATATGTCTAACCTTGAACGCGTACCCCAGCTTTCTATTACACGAGATTAACTTTTGTTGTCGTGGGCTAGGGAAGCTGGTTGTTTTGGAACATGACTCACGTCTACTATCGAATTTTACTTTCGCCCACGCACCCCCTCTTGCTTACCCACTTACGATCGTTTCTACACCGCTATTCAATGAACACATCAATGGACAAGATCTGTACGTGGGATAATCGACTGCTGCAGTAGTAAATATCTTCAATTGTTTACCATCTAATTTTCCAAAATGTCATCGAACACCAATAACAACTGTTCATCAAAGCTGCTTGGCGCAGCGGAAGCGCGCCGGGCTCATAACCCGGAGGACGCTCGATCGAAACGAGCAGCAGCTAGAACATTGTGTCTATTCTTTTTGTAATTTTTTTTCCCTTCCATGAGTGAGTGGGCACATCTAGGTTAGATGACTTTTTTTGGGCGCGGCAGGAAGGAAAGTCTAGCCAGATTGTTAGTGACGCTAGTTAGGGCACCAACCTCATATTTTGTTACATGTTGTTTTCCCCTTCTCTTCTGTTAACGGCAACATGGCTTGTCCCAGTTACACATCAAGATTGTACTCTCGAATTCAACACGACCAACAGTCCTAGCGCTCAAGAATGGAAACGGGCTGCATATTGTTCAATAGCAAAAGCGAGAAAAGATGAAGGGGAAGAAAAAGAAGCGAATCGTCACCGTGGTATATATCAAACGACAAAAACAGACAACCACACGCTATGCAACAAGATAAAATCCCTCCAATACATCTAGCACACGTACTCTCTCTCTCTAGACATTTCCTCCCTCATCTCATCATCCATCGTCCCACACCACCAGCCCCCTCCACTCCCCATCTCAAGATGCAGTAACAAGCACATAACTAGTAATAGCATCCATCCTCTCCTTAGTCAACTTGAGCCCCACCTTCAACAACTCAGTCGCAACCTCCTTCTCCCTCCTCTCCAACTCATTATACCTGTCCCTCGTCAAGAGCCACGCCACACTATCATTCTCCGCCGCCACCGTCCCCGTGCGATCGGTTTCGCTGAAAAAGGGCAATTCACCACACGTTGTCCCCGGCAAGATGACTTCAAAGAAGCTACCCTGATCGAGCTCGTACTCTGTGCGCAGACGACCTTGCTCGAGGACGTAGAAGCCGTCTGGGTCGTCGCCGCGCGAGTACAAGACGGTGCCCGCGGGGTATTCTTTGCGCTCAAAGTACGGTGCTACGGCGTGCCAAAAGTCTTCGTTCTTGGTGGACACGTCTTCGAAAGTTTGGAGGATGATTTTGAGGGGCTGGGCAAAGTTGCGCCAGCGCGAGGGGGCTGCTACTGCTTGGCTGGGTTGATTGTTGTTGCTATTGGTGTTGAGCGACGAGTTGTCTACTATGGAGAGAGAATCTTCGCCAGACTCGCGCATGGTGGAGCGGGCGGCGATGAGGCGGGCGCCGCGGCGTGGGGAGGAGAAGACAGGGTTAAGGGAGCTGGCGCCAAAGGATGTGGGGGAGCCGCCTGTCGCGATGGGTTCGTTGCTTGATTTGCCATTACCGGATATACTCATCGGCGGTGTTGTTTGGGATTTTGACGAGTGGCGATTCCAGTGCTTGTGGAAGACTTCTAGTAGCTCGTTCTCACAAGACTCAAGCGCCGTATTTAGGTCCTCGAAGACTTGTGGTGGAGGACACTCTTCATCGCCATCTTCGTCGAGCAGACCAACGTTTTGGAGGGCGCGACCGACGGGATCGGCAAAGGAGACGCCGGAGATGATCATTTTGACGTTCTTGGTGTTTAAGATACGATTGATTCGTTGGAATCCCTCCGAGCTGGAAAAGTCGACGTCCATGACGTTTGTAAAGTCGACAATGATGAAGCTGATGGGGTTCTTTTCAAAGTTGTCGTCGTCAATCAATGAGCGCATGTACTCTTCCACGGAGACAATGGTTCCAAAGAACAGGAAACCGCCTAGCTTGATGGCGCGGATTTGACCTCGCACCTTGTTGAGATAGCGAGAATCTGAGCGCGGGCGTCGAACAGTGGATTCTGCAATCATGCCGCTGTATGTTCCTCGAATAGCTGAGTGGCGCGAGCTCTGCACCACGTAGCTGACGCATGCAAGGACGATACCCACAAAGATGCCAACAACAAAATCGTGCACGCCCATGATGAGTACAATGGCCACGATGGTCAAGTACTCGAGTTTGTGACACTTTCCGAAAGTATCCCAAAGAGCTTCTTTCATAAGATCGATACCGAGGAGGAAGATTAGCGCGCCGACCAGGCAGATGGGGATGTAGCCGACCATGGCTGGCCCCGCAACCCAGACTGCAGTTGTCGCACAGGCAAGCAAGATGCCTGCGAGTCGGCTGTTCCCTCCGTTGTCAACAAACATGACGCTGTTGGCGTAGACTAGGTAGTTCTAACAACATGTTAGCAATCGTCGTATAGCATTTCAAGACAGTCCTACCTGAATACTACCGAGGCAACCGGAGAGAGTGTTTGAGATGCCGTGGGCGATCAGTTCCCGGTTGACATCAAGGTTGTCCTCTCGCACCGCAGCACCTAGAGCGGGGACGTTGATAGGAACATGGATGATACCGAAGAAGGAGAGAGCGAACATGGTCGGGATAGTGCTGGCAAGTGCCGCTCCATCTATGCTGCCGAACTTGAAGTAAGAATAGAATCTGTAAAACTTGACGCCCGCTTCGGGTGTCTCAAAGATCCAACCTGCGTTGCGTACAGGCTCGAGGTCCTTGTGTAGGATGCCCTTGACGATGAGGTAAAAGACAGCAAATACAGTGATGAAGAATGCGGGTAGAACGAATGGGCTCTTGGACAGGCGCCGTAGGACCATGATGGTGATGGCAAGAGCAAGAGGCAGTGTCCACAGATACCAGGTGTCTCCAGAGAACAGCTTCTGCAGGGTAGGGAGATCGTAGTTGAGATTGCCCTCGAGACGCGCGGAAACCTCGATGCCAGTAACGACGAGGAAGAAGCCAACACCTCCGATGCAGCCGATCAGAATGTGCCTTGGAAAGAAGCTGACGAGATTGCCTAGCTTGAAAGCGCCGAGGGCAAGGAATATGAGACCGGTTAAAATGGAGCTCAAGCAGTAGGACACAATGGTAGTGGCTATGATGGCCTCTGGTGGCTTGCCTTCCATCTGCTCCATGATGGAGTATGCCATCTTGTGGAAGAAGGGCACCACCTCGATCATCTCAGAGCCAACACCGCCCTTGAACACGGAGAGTCCCAAGGAGTAGCAGAGCTGCGATACGATGCAGCTGACGAAGAAGATGGAGATGCCATCCGGGCCGGTGTTGCTGAAGATGGGCGCGCCCAGCGGAAACAGAATATAGCCATAGGACAAGGCGTCCAAGAGGTTCAGGAGGAGTCCAAGGAAGACGGCCGATGTGATTTGAACGGTGCCGAGAGCGCTGGAAATGAGGGCATCCGTGGTGTAGTTCTTTGGGTTTGTGAGCGACTGGCCCACTCCCAGAATGTGTTGGCGGCCAGCAGCAAACGTGTGCTTGACGCGTTGAGGCAAGCGCAACTTTGACTGTGGTGTCCACGAGTGGCTCTCCTGTGCCTTCTGCTTTTGTTGGGGGCCCCCGCGCGACAGCCTAGTTTGGGGGAGCAGAGGGGTCCGCTCAGTATCCTCGACGACGACGCCAGGCACGTGTGAGTTTGCCGGCTTGGGGCTGAAGAAGCTCTTGTCCTGCTGGGGCCCGATGACCGTGTCGGGCGTTTCGGCCTCGCTATCCTCCTCGATGGTGTCGGTCCATCGACCCGTGTCTATCGACCCGCGCCCCTCGTCGTTGTCAGACAAGGGCGGTCTGTCTTGGTAGTCTTCGGCTTCGAGGGCATACGAGGCCAACTGGGAGCTTCTCTCGCGCACGCCTTGCGACGAGTACTGTGGGGTATCGGCGGCGAAGCCATGCGACGTCTGATGCGCAAACGAGCGGATAGGATTGCGCGTATACGATCCAGAGAGGGGCCCGGAGGCGATTGAACCCCCTCTTATCCGGCGCGGAAGCGAGTGTCCGCCATGCTCAGCCTGCGACGGATCCTGGGCGAAGTCGGCTTCGTTGACGCTGTCGCTGGTGAAGGGAAGCTGTTGCTCTGCGGCGGGCGAGTCGCGAGAGAACAGACGTGACGGCATGGCGCCTGATTAAGAACAATGCTAGGAAACAATCAAAACTCAGCGAAGCATCCCCAGGCCCAAGCAGAGATAAGTGGAGAGGTGGGCAGTAAGGGACTACCGGCCGCTAAACACAGCTGGAGGCGGATATAACAATGCCTCGACGCGACGGAGGTGACAATCAAAGAAGCTTCCTCGGACACCAGACATGATAGTCAAAGACGGTCAGTTACAAGGATTGCGCGGCTTGTCGGAAAGCATGGGGCGCTGCAATTGGGAAATTTTCTGCTGAGAAACGTGAATCGAGACCCAGCTCGGTACGTCACCGGCCGCTAAACCCGTCGCAACAAGATTCATCCTTTCCTGTTCCGTGCTTCCCATGTCTCAATTAGGTTTCCCTCTAGGACTTCCCTCCATCCCCGCGTCCTGCCGCCTGCCCTCATCGATAATGCATTTCGTCTTCGCCTGCGCGCATAACGCAACATGGCGTCAACATGCTCTGACATGTGAACATCACCGTTTTCGCTGCCACTCGCTTATGCACCTCAACCAATGCCGCGACGAATCCCACACGTTCATGCATCGCGGAGCGCACCGCGCAGACGTCTAGGTGGATCCACTTTCGTCATGCCAATTGTCAAAATCCGTTTATACGAGTCAGAATGCTGTCTATTCTAAACTTCCTCACATTCTACACACAAGAGAATCGACCTTGGGGTTACATTCGATTAAGCGGAGCCGCAGTCCCGTGTACTGTGTGAGTAAACAAGGTAAGCCAGCACTTGTGTATGCCCGTGGCCGATAAAAGAAAGACCGTCCCGTGTGCTTCTGGCTACATTCAACCTCTCTCAACAGCCCCGCATCAATGTTAGTCAAGTGCATATACAGTTCCGACAGGACGGTCGTCTTGCGTAGGCTTCGCGTGCAGGCCCAGAAACCCGCGGAAAACGGACACCTGCGTTAATGCCTCACGCGCCTCGACGACATGTCTCCTCTTCCACGCCCAGATCGACCCACAAGCAACTCCACCATCCCCACGGATTGTGCATCTCCCCTCATCGTTGCGGCAGTGTAGTTCCTGGAGGAGGCGATTGATATGAAGGAAGCTCGCTTGGTGGTGCCGGTGGTAGTTCAGACGGCTGAGCGGAACTGTAGGTGTGCTGGCTGTCGTGCATATACTTTTGATAATCTGACATTTGTCCCTGATCCGGATTTTGGGGCAAGCATCCAGCTATGCCTTGAGCGTATTTCGATGCCGCTGCCTCTCTCTTATACTTGGACGCCCTCCTTGCGAAGAAGACGGCGGCTGCCAGCAGAGCCAGCCCTATGACACCGCTGATGACAATGCCCGCAATCACGCCTCCAGTGACGCTAGGATCTTCTCCAGTATTCCCCACCGCAGCAGATGGTGTCTTGCTTGGTGCCTCCGTCCCCGTCGTAGGAGTTGAGACTGTCGATGCTGACGATACTTTGGAAACCGGTGCTGTAGTTGGCAGACCCGCTCGACTTGACGATACTGCAGCTCCCATCATTTGTGGCAACTTCACCACTCCAACGTTACTCGTACAGCAAGCCGTGCTATCGCCACAACACCATCGATCGCTATCGGCTCGTCCGTTGTCGCAGGGCGTTATACGTGCAATGCCGAAGGAATCTCGTACTTGGTCGCAGACGTTGAGACAGTTGGGACTGTCTATGTTGTCGTCGGCGCAGAAATCAACGAAGAATCTGGACGGGGCATTAGTGTCAACCGTCGTTCTGTAGCACTCATGTCATCGACTCTGCTTACTTTGTTTCTTCCACCCCATCTGTCGTTGTTGCTCGGTTCTGGCACAGGCCGTTGGGCAGACATTCGTCCGTTGTGTCGCCAGCCGTAATGTTGCCTCCAGCGACATTGTCACGGAAGATGCCACAGCATATCGTTGAAGGGCCGCCAGACTGACACGGTTGGTATTGGTTGTAGATTGGATCTACGGGGAGCGCTGTTCCGTTGGCGAAGTAGCACGTTCCGACCATGCCGGTCATCGCGACTGTTGGCAAGACGAGGAGGGAGAGTGAGGTAAAGGATAGTAGGGCCTGCATGTCGGAGATTCTTCCAGTTGAAGGTATTAGTTGATCAACAGAACTGGGAAAATCGCTAAAAAAAAAAAGAAAAAGAAGGACTTGAGATGCGAGAAGTTGAACAACCAAAAAAGAGAAAAACAAGACACTTCGAGAGCGCTCCCGCCCAACCCTCTTGTATTCTCGTCAACCCCATGGATAAGGCCCATAAACTACGGCTAAGACTGACCATGCAGAGTCACTTGTGGATTAGTCTACCGTTTTTCTGCCTATTCATTTGTCTGGGAAATGAACTTGTCAAGGCCTTCATGATCCTTCGAACGGGAGGGGTTTAGCGTAGGTTGCCTAAGGCATACAGCGACGACTTGCGACACCTCGTGCTCCAAACCCATCAGTTGATAGTATAGTATGCAGGTGAAGGTTGAATGTGATCAAGTGGACGGCAAACATCAGATAAGGTTGGCTGTCAGAGTGACTGACTCACTGGAACTATCGACATGATGAACTGAACGTGCCTGTTTTCTAAACGAGCCTAGTAGGGGGATTACAACTTTGCCTTTGCAAAGCTATTGAGATAGGATATGGAATCTATGGGTGGATGAGGAGGAGGAGGAGGCCGGAAGGGTCATTGGGGGTCTTCTCTCTGAATGGGTTCGGTGAGGGCGTACAACTTCACCTTCATAGACCCGCTGAGACAGAAGATGGCATAACCCCCTGAATGCGGTAAGATCTGCAACGCGGCTCGGCTGTACTGTCCATGGTATTCAAAGAAGAAGCTGTATTCTAAGGCCGTCTTGGTGCCTGGCCATGGTCTACTCAGACAACATGTTGTCTGAAGACGTTTTTGTATGCAAATGGAAGATAGTGAACTGACGTATCGGGTCTATCTACGCATGGGTCAAGTGTGCTTTTCTTTCGATCTCCGACGACCGACTATGTTCTCCGGCTTGTCCGCACAAGGACCGAGCAGCATGGTACTTTGGAATCACATCGCCCTTGGCATCACCCATAACTCCGTCTATCTCCGTCACAGTTCGTCTCACAATGCATACGGCTGACTCTATATCCGTCAAGTCGTCGACTCAATCTCCTGTGACGATTGTTCGCAACAGTATAAGAAGGCGTCGATTCAAAGACCATATTGCTACCTCCAAGCCTGCACAACCAGCCTGAATCACTTCTCCAACTATGGCAACTCATCTACCTGCCACCTACCGCGCACTGCAGGTCGACAGTGTCGATACGGGCCTCCAGATTGTCGAGAAGCCAATGCTCAAGGCCGACCCAGGAAGCGCCATCGTCCGCATCGAAGCCGGCAAGATCCTCTCCTACCACCGCGAAATCTACAACGGCGAACGCCACTACTCTTTCCCAACACCTATAGTTGGTGGGGGCAGTGCGATCGGACGGATCGCAGCCGTTGGACCCGATGCCACGACTCTCACCGAGGGTCAACTTGTCTATGTTGATTGCGTAGTCCATGCGCGAGATGATCCAGATACGCTCTTCCTATCTGCAGTTCACGACAGCGGTGCAGAAGGTAGTAAGAAGCTGATGCGAGATGTCTGGCGCGATGGGGTATTCGCTGAATACGCAAAGTTTCCGCTCGAGAACTGCATTATTATGAACGAAACCATCTTATGCCAGGACCTGGGCTACTCAATCGAAGATCTCATGTACATCGGGTATCTTATGGTCCCTTTTGGCGGACTACGAGACATCAGACTCGAGCCTGGAGAGACCATCGTCGTGTGTCCTTCAACAGGCGGATATGGTGGCGCGGGCGTGCAGGTAGCGATTGCCATGGGCGCAAAAGTCATCGCCATGGGCCGCAACGAAGAAGAGCTTGCGAGACTGAAAGAGCATGTGCTCAAGGGTACCCCAGGTGCTTCGATCGAGACTGTGAAGATCACCGGAGACGAGGCTACGGAACTAAAGACGCTCCAGAGCTTCGGTGTCATCGATGCCGTGCAGGATTTCACACCGCTGCAAGCTTCCAGGTCGACCCATCTTAGGGCTGCAACGAGTGCGCTTCGTCGAAACGGGAGGGCCAGTTTAATGGGCTTTGTTGATCAACCAGTCGCTCCGTGGCATTGCGTTGGGTGTAACATTACGCTAAAGGGTAAGCTGATGTACGAACGAAGCGATCTTGTGCAAATGGTCAAGATGCTTGAACGAGGGTTGTTCCCCAGAACTGGGACGTTTGTTGAAACTGAAAGCTTTGGACTGGACGACTGGGAAACGGCTTTTGATCGGGCGAGTAAGCACACAGGGATTGGGAGGCAGGTCATTCTGAGGCCTAGTATCATGCCTTGATATTGCATGACTACCGTAGTTGGATCAGTGTAGGTTTCTAATCAAGCTGTGCAGAAATTCCTTGTTCCACTTTATTCATGTTCGTTCCGGTAGAGAAAGACGCAGGCAAAAGCTAACCCACCGATATAATCCTCTACCAAGGGCTGCTTACCAGTACACAAATTTTTCAGCGTTTTTCTTTTTGACTGTAGGGCTGCACATGTAACAGCACTCGCCTATATCTGGTGATTGGGTGCGCCGCGCTTACATCCTTTACAGCAACGACGACATGTAGAATCGGACATTTCTGCTTCTCCCCCCACTGACCGAATTCAGTCACATCCTCGTCGGCGACGCATGTATCGTACATTCCGTAGGGCACTGTGAAACGCACGACGCTCGCATCCGGCCCAGTGACATCCGTCAAGTTGACCGTAGGGACATCGCTTGGCGAGGATTGGTATGAAGACGGACCCGAATATTGGAACCAAGTGAAATTCAGACTCGCGCCCCCATCCGGCGAGTAAGAATCCGAAGCATCCAGCGTCACCTTTTCCCCACCACTGACGTTGAGATGCAACGCATCCGGGCCAGACGTTCCATTCAGCAACACAACGGGCGGATGCGTGGTATTAGAACCAGGACTCCAAGGGCTGAGCGTCCACTGCATTCTAGCAGCAAACTCATGCTGGAACGCATCGCGCCACCTCCACACCGACGCGTGGTTCGTAAGGAACATCTCGCCGTTCACACCTTGTGCCATGTCCACAGCATCGCCGTACTGCTGCGCAGCTGCATCGCCATCAAGCGGATTACTCGTGTACCTCCCACCCCAGCTGCCCCACTCCGGGTACTCGGGGTTTCCCAGGCCGTTGGGAATATGGTAGAGCAAACTGGGCGAGTCACCTTCCATCAGATACGCGACGTCGGGATATTTTTTGCCTAGCTCGCCTACTTGGATGTTCTCCGTGAGCCACGCCTGCGACACGATCAGAGTTGCTATCAGTCAATCAGTCAGTTGTCAGTTCATCTTTGCGGTTCAAACTGTCAGTCTGGAGGTAGTGAACTGACCTGATTGACTGCCAAGACATTTTTTAGAATCGCGAACTGAG